CCAGCCACAAGATTCCTTCTTGCTAACCTTTCAGGGTTGGCAACATGACATGATGACAGAGTCTTCCTTGTAAGACTTCTCAATCTGAAAATAGGCTGTATTTAGGAAGGAAAAGTAAAAATAGAGGAAAGTTTGCACATCAATTCTCCTGTGATGTATTCAGTCATATAGCCATATAGATAGAAATGACTGAATCCTTTTGAATGAGATCAGACAGGTTTGGGTTACTGGTAGAATTAGCTAAGCTTGACTAGGTTAATAAAGATGTGGGTGAGACTGGGGGCAAAAAAAGGACATTTTATTCATGGCTGATTTTTGTTTTGTTTTTTAAATAGAAGCTCAATTGTATTTGGTACTTGCCATTTCACCAAGATTAATTAAGAAACTTTTTGATTTGTTGTGTCATGGTGTTTTTCCTCTCATTTTCTACTCAGAACAAACTGCATTTTTGGTTGGCATTTTTATTGCCCTTTGGCTAGCAAGACCTGAGAGCTTGAAAACAAAGTCAGACTTCATCTTTCTTCTGAAAGCACTGCTGTTGTCCAGCTATGGAAAGCTTCTACTAATTCCAGCTGTTATTTGGGAACATGACTATACGCCTTTGTGCCTCAAACTCATAAAAGTATTTGTTCTGACATCAAACTCTCAAGCAATTAGAGGTACTTTTCTGCTTCTGTTTTATTAGTATAATGTCTCTTAAGTTTAAGAGATGCTCTTGCTGTTGCAAGTAGCTGCTACACTTTGTTCTGCTTACATTTTTAATTATTTAAAAAATCAATCTCATTCATTTTTTAAATGTTGTTGAAATTGTTTTTAGCCTGAAATTTTGACACTGGATCTTTCATCAAAAGCGAATGAAGCAGAAAATGTGTGTGTAAAACTTATCTCAGGATAATTATCTCTGTAGGTACAAATTGGTTTCAAATTGAGACAACTCAATATAGGTCACTAGGACATAGAAAGTAGAATTCATTATTTGTGTAACATATATGCATGTATATTTAGTTTGATTTTCATAATTTATACTGAAAATTAGGTTAGCTTTTAAGGGGGCATTTTCTTCCCAGCTGCATATAGAATCTTAAAGTGGATCTTTTCTGTGATGTACATATTGAACTAAAGCCTCACACAAGCTTTCCATTGACCAGAGAGATTTTGACTAGGGATGTAAAATCCCATTTAATTAGTTAACCGGTTAAACATTCATTAATTAGTTAACTGGTTAACTGATTAAATAAATGGGGCCAGACAGGGAAGGCCATTTGAACCCGTTGGGCTGGAGTGTCTGTGACGCTGCAGGCTGGGGCTGCTCCATCCTGGCTACTTCTGACTCCACGCTAGGCTGCTAGCTCCCAGCCCATGAGGGATGAGCATTGGCAGTTTTATTCAGGGTTGGAAGCGGCAGTGGGTCAGGGGAGAGGGCTGCCAAATCCCAGCTTATGCAGGCTGTGAGCCAGTAGCCCCATGGGGCTGAAGCAGCCCTCTGCCCATAGCGGGGGGAATAGAGGGCTTTTCCCAGATAACATTTAACCATTACCCAGTCACGTCCTTAATTTTGTCCCACACTAGATATTCCCACGCTAATACAATTATTGAGCATATTATTCTGTTTTCTTTTGCAGTTACCTTGAATGCAAGCCAAATGTTCACTTTATTGGCCATCGTCAGTGGATTAATTTTGGAAAATGGCATAGTCTACTTAATCCAGAGAGTAGGATGGAATGTTTGAAAAGGCAAACCAGTGTCCATTTGCCAAATCTTGGATTACTTTGCATATCTAAAGAAAATATTGATTGTCTGGAAACAGTTCTATGGTTTAAAACAAGAAACTTCAATAGTCTAGCTCCTGTATGTCATACTAGAACGCTTCGGTTTGAACTTGTTTACTTTTCCACCAAATATATGAGTGTCACTATTCTTATAGCTTTCATAACTGAACTGTAATAGGAAAATGGATGCTCAAACATTTTAGCGCTACCAGCACTCTTTTGGGTTTTTTTCAGAAGGAACGGGATCAGTTGTTTTCCTTAAGAAGGAAAAGGAGTGAGAGAGAAGTGAAAGGGGAAGACAAAAGGGCTACTTTCTAAAGGGGGCATTAATTGATAGGGAACAAAGGACAGCCAGAATTAACTGTTATGTGATACTGCAAAATTACAATGGATAAATTAAGCTTCATTCTTAAATGTTTGTGGAACAAGCCAAAACAATAATGGAGCTTTATGTATTTTAATCTTACAAAATTGAATATTTGTGACAGTGTTGAAAGGTGTTTCAAAACCCTAAATGTTTTTCTTTAAAAAAAAAAAAATTGTTTAGAAAGGATGATTATTTCATTTAAAATCCGTTTAGGCTTAAGTTAAAATTTCGAACTTCAGTGTTAGATGAGGTTCAAAGGGACAATAACAATTGATTTTGTGATAAAATTGATTTGAAGTGGTTTTAACACATAATATAGGTGAGATTCTTACTTGGTATAAATCTGACAGTTTATTATACCATCTGAAATCTGGCCTGTGCTTTAAGAAAACAGTTTACAATGCAGAAACATCAGAGATAAGGTAGGCTAGTTTAAGGGACTTCCTTTTTCTTTTACCTCTTTACTCTTTGTAATGAAATCCCTTGTGATGAGTTATGTATTACAGTTTTTTATATGGTGAAGAAACTGTCACAATCTACCTGACATTTTTCATACCTAGGATTAATTCAGTGGGAGTGTTACATGAAGAGACTGAGAGAGCTTAAGAACATTGGGCCATAAAATGTGTATCCTTAAAGCTCATGGGGTCTTGCTTAAAAACTGATGGTATATTATAGCCTATAGGCATAAAATAAATAAAATAGAGCAAATACATCTAAGACTCAGATATTTGGTAGGAGAAAATACAAGGAAAACAATAATGTTAGGATTTCTTTTCAACAGCAGACTTTTAAAAATTGTATTGTGAGAGGTTAGAAGAAGCAACCAACATGAGCTTTAGTTATCTCTACAAACATTTCATGAAACAAGGTGTTAAATTTCAACATAAACACTGATAAGATTACACCTTATATACTAGACACCATTCCAAGCACCTCTGTGCTAGGATGACATCTGTAAGCTTTGTGGGACAGAGTAGAGGAGCAATAAAAATAAAGGGATGAGGGAATCTGAAGGAGTTTTACCTTATGAGGAATGATTAAGCTCTGAATGTGGGCACAGAATAATTATATGATTGTGTATATGGATATCATCTCTAAATATTAAAAGGAGAAACCTTAAGAAAAATGGTATTATTTTGATGAACCAAGGTGGTATAAAGAGATGGCAAAAACATTTAACATTAAGAACTAGATCTGGTAAACTGTCGAAGTCTCCTTTGAGAATGATGCTGATAGCCCTATCACTTGAGAATGTATTGTAATGAAGATGTCCTGCATTAGCAGACTTATACAAGGAGGTCATCTAGGCTTTCCTTTCCTAGTCATGAAATTTATTCACCTGAATTAGGGCTATTGCTGACTATGTACTATATGTATCTTATGACTTTTAAAATAGTGTGTGTGGATAACCTAAATACTATACCCAGATGTACACTTTCTTCTTAACGTGGATTATATATTTTTTAACATGCGCTTTAATAACATTTTTAAATCTGTTCCGCCAGACCACTAGCCAACCTAAAAACATATATACTATAATTCATTAGCATAATCTTAATAGACTAGTTGGAATAGGGAATAAAATAACTAATCATAATGGAAAAAATTTTCCCTTCTGATTTTCAAAAAGGAAACCAATAGTCCCTCAAGAAAGCCACATGTTTTGGTGTACTCCATCTCTTACTTTCCCAACTAAGCAATGCTAGTCACTTGACTACAGTGCCACCTGGAGCCCAAAATGAAGGGGACTTCATTTTGTTTTCAAAACTGTCCAAAAGGAAAGTGTAATCAGATGCTATTGGGCTACTGCAGTTAATTTCTACTTAACACTTTGCTTTTATATTAAACCTTCACAAATTCATATTTTTTAAATTTTTCTGCCTTTTAGAAGTTAAAAATAAGTGGTGATAATTAAGGATGTAAAAGAGTAAATGATTAGTTGACTAACTTGCTGCCTCTATATCAGAGGCAGCAAGGTGGGGAGGAGAGCAGAAGCTTAAAAGTGGTTTCTCCCACTCCTCCTCCCAGCTCAGTCTCCATGGTCCGTCCGTCCCCACCCCCGGTGCTGCTGTCTCTATTAGGTGCAAGGGTGGCTGCTCCGAGGGCCCATTAGGGAGTTGGGACTCCCCACAAACAGAACTGCTGCTGCGTACCCGGCTCTTACTACATTTAAACTGCAGAGCTACAGCAAGGGCAGTGCCTTCTCTTATCGACTAATCATGTAGTCAATACAACTTACATTGTCTACACGATTACCTAATTACCTGCCTCTTAACATCCTTAGTAATAATGCTCAGAGTACACGATGTAGTTTTGTAACTAATTGAATAGTAAAGGCACATAATGCTATAGAGTCACCAAATAGAACTGTTTAAAGCAATGGGCATCAGTTTAATATAACTACAAGACAAGATAATGCAAATTCTGCTTACCACAAGTAGTCCCATTACGTTCAGTGAAACTACAGATGCTAGCTATGTGAGGCTGTTCCTTTGCCATGGAGATCAATAGGAGTTTTATCATTGAGTTAATTGGAAATAGGAGCATGCCCCAGACATGATAATGAAGGTTTTGCAAGAAGGTTGCTAACATGACTTTTATTTTTCTTTCATGCTTCAAAAACATGGTGTATCAGCTTACATTCTAAAAAAGGGGGTAAGTTTGGGAAAAGAGGTACTATGACTGGTGATAGTCTCAATAAAGGCTTAATTATTATTCATGAAAGAATAAGGTGTTTGTTTTGTTTTTCTGGGTAAGATTTAGCTGAAATTCCTAAATGTGGATAACCTATAGAAACTTTATCAGGCCAGTGCTAGAACTTTGAATCCATTTTTATATAGTAAGATCGTTGTACATAAACCAGGCCCCTCTTGCTATAGTTTAATTGAGCAAAGGAATGGGAAACAAGACTTTCTGAATTCTCTTCCTATTTCTGAGATGGATGTCTTCTGTAGCCTTGGCAAAGTCATTTATTGCTGTCTCTCTGTCTGTAAAATGAGGGTAACAATATCTGCCTTATAGGAGTAACGAGAGGAGTAAATAGTTAATGTCAGTCTGAAGATGAAAAGGATATGTTGTTGGGGTTTTTTTTCCTACTAGCTGCTTGTTGGACATCAGTAAGTACTCTGATAATTGCAACTGAAAAGTCAAGAGCCTGAGAAGCTGAAATGAATTAAGATGGCATGTTTAAAGAATCCTTCTTAGTAATGTTAAGTGAAGTACTGACTTTGACTCTTCCTAACATACAATTTCATAGCCAAGGTATCTGAAACCTCTTCACAATGCTGACAGCAAGCTCTGCTTTTCTTAATGTGAAGGTACTAGATGTTATCCCAGGAGCCCTGTACCAAATAAGAGTGAAATTAGTTTGGGAAACGCTGGGTGAAAGTTAATAGGTCTTAAAGAGAATTGCGTGCTCCTATTTTGTTACTAGTATGAGACTTGAAGTTTAATAATTAAGTGATTGTGTCCATAAGTATTTTTTTGAAAAGGTTGGTATCAAATTTTATTTTCCTTATCAGTGGTTCCAATAACATTACAGGAACAGTCTTCTGAGGATCAATTAATTCAGAAAGAAATGCTAATCTATACTGTCACCTTTAGCACTTTTCCCAGAGTTAGTATTCCACTTTAGTTCTAGACCACTAGGACTATCACTTTCATATGGCTGTTTCCATGTGTGCTTTTCATATATCTTAGCCAGCTGCCTCCTCCTCAGATTAGGCTGCCATAAGTGCATCAAGCCTATGAATCAAGTCCAGGTATATTAGAGCATTTTTCTCTATGAATTGCCAGGTCTGCTGTACTCTGCTGTGAATGTACTGTACTATTCACAAAGTTCAGAATTATGTACGTTTAGACTGATGGCAAAATATTCTCAGCTGAAGTGATCAGAGGTGGAATGAACTTCCACAGCAGAGTAATCCAGAGTCTGACCAACCTTTAGGAAACTGCACAGTCATCTTGCTTTGCTAAAGCTTTTCTATATCATCAGAAAAACAGTCACAATATCACCCATTCCCCTGTCAAAGCAACCCTGGCTCCCACCACATCCCAAAAAACAAACAAAAAAATTTATAGCAGAGCTTTCTATCTCCTTAAAAAGGAGAAAAAGAGTGACTCCATGAAGTCTACTAGGGCTTTTGTTACTTTTTTAAATCAGCAATATGCTCAAATAATACAAATAGCAGTATAAACTCTTAAGTTAAAATAAAATGAACAAAACTATCGAGTGGAAAGTTATACTAATGTTGAATGAGGTACAGAAGGGATTGAAACTAGCAAGGACACAATACCAACATTATACCTATGTTAGGAAAAATGCCTCTGGGATGTGCAGAATAGACAGTGTGAGAAGTGACTATAACATTTTCTAGGACAATGGTTCTCAGCCCTTTGTGGGGACCTCCCTTCCACTTAATGTAAGAAGGGCAGATGGGTTTTCAGCCTCGGGATTGTACCTTGTCACTTTCTGCCCTTCAAGAGAAGCAGTCAATGGTAAGCTATTGCTGATCTATGAAGTATTCAGCAACCCTTATCTTGGCTCTCAAGAAAGAGTTTAAAAATTATCATGTGAAAATCAACAAACCTCATTGTGGCAAAGGAGCTGCCAGTTCTTCATATAAAATAGTGAAAAGGGTTGAGTCTATTAAAGTTCACATCTTTAACAGCCTTGTCAAGTACCTCTTGTTTCCACCGGCATCCTCTTTTCATTGAAAGCTTCCTCTTGTATTAAACAATGGGCACAAATAGCTTGGGGTATAATCCTAGTTGAACAGCCTCTCTTTTCAGGCACATCTACAAACAAAAAGGGTGCATCTAGACTGGCAAGATTTTGCGCAAAAGCGGCCTACACTGGCTGCTTGAATTTGCGTAAGAGCACTGACTTTGTAATGTACAAAATCAGTGCTTCTTGCACAAATACTTTCACGCTCCCGCTCGGGGGAAAAAGTCCTCTTGCGCAAGAATACTTGCTTAAGAGGGCCAGTGTAGACCGGGAAGAACTGTTTTGCGCAAAAAAGCCCCGATGGCTAAAATGGTGATCGAGGCTTTCTTGTGCAAAATCGCGTCTAGACTGGCCACAGATGCTTTTGCGCATAAGCAAATTTTTGCGCAAAGGCACTTGCCAATTTAGACGCGCTTTTGCGGAAATACTTTTAACGGAAGAACTTTTTCGTTAAGTATTTCCACAAAATCATGCCAGTCTAGACACAGCCAAAATGTATAACCCCTTCCCCATAGAAGTGGCATAGTTCTAAGGGCCCACTTGAATAGGCCCTCTCTTTGCATGGGTGGCAAGGGTGGAGGCAGTAAGCCTCTGCATTCCAGCCCTGCTCCCGGCCAGAGTGCTGGGTGATGGGGCACCAAAGTGCCCCGGCTGGACCGCCAAGCTAAGTGGGGTTTAGTCTCTGCACTTGGCCAGGGTTGGCCCTGGCTATCCAGTGGGGACGCAGTTACATCAATTAAAAAGATGCTCATTACAGTATAGCTAGAACTACACAGAAAGGCAAATAAGCTATAGGTATAAGGTATCTTTACACTGGTATAACTACATCTACACAAGAGACTGTGCCAATTTAAACTGTACAGAAATGGGTGTTGCCCAGGCTTTCCTCTCATTGCAAATACCTACACAGTGACACCAATCCAACTCAGCTGCAGGAGCTGATTTGTAGAAAGCTTCAAAGACTTTTTTTCTTCAGTGCATTCTGTCAGAGCACAGCACAACAGGAAGTCTTTGGCTACGTCTACCCTGCAGGCTTCTTGCACGCGCATTCTTGTGCAAGTAAATTTCCAGGAAAGCGTCAGAACAGAGGGCTTCTTGCACAAGAGTTATTCTTCTCCCCACAAGGAATAAGCCCTCTTGCACAAGAGCTCTGGTGCAAGAAGGCAGTGTGGACAGGCAACAGGGGGTTCTTGCGGAAGAAACCCCTATGGCTAAAATGGCCATCAGAGCTTTCTTGCGCAAGAGAGTGTCTACACTGTCATGGACGCTCTTGCACAAAAGCGCTTCTCTTGCGCATAAGCACATGGTAGTGTGGAGGTGCTCTTGCGCAAAACAGTTCTTCCGCAAGAAGCCTGCAGTGTCGACGTAGCCTTCATGTATGGAGCCTTCCCACTCAGCATGGAAAATAATAAAAGGTAAGCAGATGTCACAACTATAATTGCATTCAGTTGTATTAAGAAATACTGGCTCTCCTAAACTCTTCTAAACACTGTTTCTGAACACCTGGACCAAAATCATTAATTTGTCAGTTGCCTGCTTTCTTAGAGAGGGTAATTTGTTTTGCCTTGACTGGCAGCAACAGATCCCAGCACCTAATCAGATCAGGCTCCCAATCATTTTCCCCAGTTATTAGTCATAGCAGCTTTGGATATGTGTAGTGACACTAAATATGGCATTTAATTAAGCCATCAGCTGGGTTTATAAATACATAAGCTTTAGTGTGAAGTATTTGGTATGAAGATAGAGGTGTGGGTCTACAAATTGGTCAGTGCTCCCTTCTTTTATTAAGCATATGCATGCCCCATAATCCCTTGCCAGCTACTACTACAATCTGTGAATATAATGAAGAAATGTCAAATTCCATGCCTGCAGAATTTCAGAGTCCATATGTACTTGACGAAGGCAGCTATTACCTCTTATTATGTCAGACAGTCTGCAGATTAAGGAAGGCACCCCTGTGTTGGGATACACATGGTAAAGCTTAAAAAAAAGGGATCACTGCAACCATAAGAGCTAGTGAGATTTTTTTTTTAAATAATTTTAAAATAGAAGAAAAGGTTGATGGGGGTGACCCATTAGTAGAAATCCCTTTGTTTTAGGGCAATAAACATAATTGTGCATATTTTGCTTATAACAAATATTTTGCAGTCTATATTGTTGCATTTAGCCTACTTTGAGTAATGCATTACCAAATTAGTGTGTCTACAGGAATGG